ATCCACAAGGATTGGTTGTAGGACATCAGATGCCTCAACCTTTTTTTTCAATTGATCATGCAGGTCATGCGTATCTAAGCCAAATTTGTCTATTTCTTGCCTGAGCTCAGTTCTTTCGTCTATCAGCTGTTCTGTCATATTTGAAAAACCATCACGGAGAAACTCATGAGATTTTATCAATTGAGCTTGTTCCTCAAGCCTAGATTGGCTCACTCTATCTGCTTCTTCAAAATCATCTTCTTGTGGGAACTCGCTCTCTCCGTCGAATTGATGTTCTTCTTGGAAATTGGCCATTAATTCATCCATTCTAGCATGGAGTCTTTTGATCGTTAAGGCATCAAGACTTTGTTGCTCGACTATTTGCCTCATCATGTCCATAATACGAGCCATGCTTTCCATATCCTCCACTTCATTGTTCCTATCAAACTCATAAACATTATTAGAAATATTATAATAAGAACTCTGAGAAGGATAATAAGAATTAGGACAACTATCCCAATGGTCACCTTGACAACCACACACATTACAAAAATTTCACACATCAGATTGAGATGCACATTTTTTCCCTAAGTGTGGTCCTCCACAATATGGACAAGGATCACCATAATAAGAATAACCAATATTTGACCAATTATCGTTCCAAGATGCCATGTCAACCAAGATAATACAATATTAAAGTAAGTTAAAATAAAAATAAAATAAAAACTTGAATAGGCAAAAAGTAAAAATTTAATCTAGTAGAATAGTTAATTTCTAAGTCCCCGGCAATGTCGTCAAAAATTTGTTGCTCCCAAACGCACACGCAAGTATACGTGGTCGACAAGTAATATAGGATTGTAAGTCCAGATATCGTAGCCACAAGGACTTGTGATTAACTATCAACTAAATTAAACCAAATAATTAATCTATTCAAGTGAATCCTAACGTATGAATATTTAGCTAAAACTAATCTAACGTAACAAACTAAGAGATTAAAAAAAAACAAGTTGGAAAATTATAGAGACGAACTCAATGTGAGCGAATATTCTACAGCTATGGGTTAGCTAACAATCCCGTTGAGTTTTTCACTTAAATCGTCTACTTAATTTATCTGGTTTATTGGTTGACAGGGTTAATATTGCTCGTAGCCTTCTCCCGAAGTACAACTCGCCTATTCAAGCTAATCTAACGCCTATATTCCTATGGAATTAGAATTAACAAGAATGCAATAATAATTTCTGTATAGTAACCAAGCAAGGCGATTAGGTATATTCCTATCCTAACCGCAAATCCGCCCTCCCTAAGAGTTAAGATCTTGCTCTACTCAATCTTATATGCAATCTAGAATTCCCTCTCCCGAGTTCAATCCTAGATTCGTAGATAGTATTCAATTGGTGATCAAACAATCAAATAATTAAGCGCAAGATTGAATAAATAAACCAATATGATAAAATAATAAGAACAATTCAAGCTTCAAATCACAACGTTCATGTAGCACCCAAAACTCTAGAACAAATAAACTATGAGATTAAAGGAAGAGAAGAGAAGAAAAACTAGTTAGAAGCCTCCTCCAAGTGTGGTGTATGTTGCCCCACATGAATTCTCCTTCAAAGTGTGTTAGATCCCTTCAAAGTGGCGTCTCCCCCTCCAAAAATAGGTTCAGTCTTGCTTTTATACGTGTTGGGTAGGTGTAGGGCCGAAATAACCTTGTCCCGGGCGAAATTGGAGAAAATTCACGTCATTGGCGCCCTGGCTAGCGCCATGCGCCCACCAAGGCACTGCCCAAATTGTCAGTACTGTCTCCAGCGCCACAAGTGGCGCCAGGCGCTGCCTGTGGCGCCCAAATGCGCATTTTCCTGGTTTTGTTCGTTTTAGCTCAAATTTTGCGCGTTTCTCCCCCAATTGCTGCCGAATCATTCCTACAAGTAAAAACACTTCTAATTAATATAAATTATACCATTTAACATCCCAAATTCATGAAACAAAAGTAAAATATGAGGCGATATACATAGAAATATATATACTTTAAGCTAAACATCACCTTCACTTATTTGGTCTGATTTGAAAGTGTACATCAACGAAATATTATTGTCAGACGACTAAAAAAATAACTATTATATGTTACTGATAAATTCTCTCTTAAGAATATTTTAATAGATAATATGCTTGTCAATTTTTTATATTTTTACTAAATATATATTTACTTATCAAAAATTTAATAAAGTAAGATTGAAATAATATTAAAGTAACAAAAATTCAAAAAATCCAAAAAATCCGACAAAACCAAATAAATTCAAATCGATATAGTTGGTTTGATATCAAAATCGAACTAACCCTAACCATGTACACTAATTTGAATATTGACGGAAAGAATCGTGCTGGGAAAGGTTTCACATAGAAATGCCTTAGTAGTAGTAAGAAAGTACAGTAAAAATCGGGAGGAGGAGAGAAGAAGTAATAGTTAGTAAGAGAGAGGGAGATTGTGGTGTGTGATAAGGCAGGGGTTGAGAGTTAGGTTAACTTTTATGGAAAGTGGGACCCAAAATCTACGTGGCAGAATATGAATAGAACCTCACACAAGTTTTATCTGCCACGTAATTGTTGAGTTTCGTACAAAATAGAATTTCTCAAAAGCCTGAAAATTATAAAATACTGCTTTATGCTGGACCTTGGTTCATAGGTAACTAATTTCTTACCACTAGGAAATGGGAAACACTATTTCTCGTATATCAAACTTAAACTTGCACTCACTGCATTATGGGCCAATTACATAATTCTCAATATGACTACCGGAATAGGAAATCAAATACTTAGGATCGTCAGTTGTACAATATCAGCTAGTCGAGGAAAATATGCAAGACTTTCTGTCCTACAAGGAAACTAGCCATGCACTATGTTTACCTCGAAAATACGAATAACAATTAAATTTAATTAGTGGTTTTAAAGATATGTGATTTAGTTCAATACCAATTAATAATTAAGAAATATGAAGTAGAAATGAAAGATAGAAGTGAATCAAACCAATATTACTTAGCAGCAGTGACCTCGAGCTTAGTGACCTCGAGGCGGCTTAGGGCAGTAAGAACAATTAAGTAGGAAAAGCAAAGTAAGAACAATAAAGCTAAAAGACAATTCTGATGAACAGTAGGCAAAAAGTAGAAAGTATATTCTTTGCTCAATGATTAGATGATCTTACAAATGATTGAGGTCCCCTTTATATAATAGAGGAACCCTAAATAAGGAATATTTCTATTTACGGTAAGGAATATTCTTGGTACAACTATCTAACTACCTAGTACAGAGTAGTACAATCATATTTCGGGATTTGCGCCATGACTTTGGGGACTTGGCAAGAATCTAACTCGTTCTGGTACAAATCCATAACGGTACTATTTCGGGGTCGAGCACACTCGACTCGATATGCATCGTGCTTCGCCTTCGAACTCGGGTCTGGTCCCTTGAGCTCGGACTTGATCTTGCCCGGACTCGGACTTAGGACGGACCCTCGAGCCTATAAGTCGGAGGCATACGATTTTGACCGTATACACACTAATAAATTAGATAACGCCTAACCACAAACCAAGTTTCGAGCCCAACCAGAATTCAATCAAAACCCAACCAAAACATGTTTTTGTTGGTTGTATCTTATTACTTGATGTATTTGTAAATAATAATTCTGGAGAAAAGAAAGTTAGCGAATAAACGTAAATATAAACGAAACAGTAATTAATTCGAGCCCACTGAATTTACAGTGTTTCCTTAAGGAATTTAATCCCCTCCTAGTACCCAAAGTTATGGATTATTTCATCCCAGAATAGAATGAATTACACACTGGTGTAGCGGTACTTCAAACCCCAGTGTTTCAGCGAACACAAAGTTCGGCAGCAAATCACACTTACGGTTGCTTTGTTTGTAGTTTAAAACAATGCAGAACAAGGGAGGAGAACTCAGAAGTCGAATGGAAATTCTGAGAGGAAGGACTGTAATTTATAGCCGATGTTGAGTTCTTACTGAAGAGGATATCAACGACAGCCAAGCTCTCAATTTCGTTTCTGCCTGTGCCTTCTCCTAACAGCTCTTATACCGTTTTTCAGTTCAGTTTTTGTGTCTCCTTGCTCTAACAACTACTGCACATATTTATAGTGCAGTCAGTTATTAAGAGAATGACCAGCCACCACTCATGGTGGAACATGCACTAGGCTGTTATGGAAGAAGCACTTGGCCATGGTGGAAGGAGCACTAGGTTGCTAATAGAACTGGTGGGACAGATATGCGGATTGGAACATATCCGTTACAAACACGGATAATATTACGTTAATATTTACTATTAACAAATAAATTTGGTCCAAAAAATCAATCAATCAATCATTCGACCAAATTCAAAGCCGAAGCCAAGCGACGACGACGGCGCGAGGCTTGCCTTCTTCTTAATTCTTTAAGAGCTACAAGAAGAACAATTGTATATATACCCACCAAAATCCTTTTCCTCTTCCAATATGGGACAATATTTCAAGAGAGAGAAACTTAAAATTTTCATTTTCTCTCCATTACCCATTCACTCTCTTTTTAAGACTTTTCCATCTTAAAATCCTCGAGAGTTTCCAATGAGCACAGAATAGTCCAAATATTAATTATACATGATGTCCCTCCCTTTAAAATAGACCTTACTAATCCAAATATTTTCAGAGATCTACGCGTATTTGCTGCTTTAAATGTAAAGAAAATGATGTTTCGATAACATCAATGTCTAAAAATTAATAATTTCATGTGGGATAGATATGAAATGCGCTGTTCCTAATGAAAAACAAATTAATGATGTTAACCAATAATAATGAACAAATCATTATACTCCTATATCATATGTTTATATACACATGCACATACATATATACATATTTATTTATTTATTTGTTTATATTTATAAATGTAAAGGTTAAACTACTTTACTCCACGTAATCTTTACCAAAACATTCAATTTTATCATATGATAAAATTAATTAATAGATCGACATAGAATCAATTATGATGGAGATGGTTTATAATATTCAAATGCAACATAAACTTGTTTAGATATATATATACACACACTTCAGGCTTGACCCCTTAGCATCATCATATCTTGTCTGACACCATCTTCAAACTTCTTCATTTTCCTTCAAGGGAATTCCAATGGCGATTTGGTTTTCGAGATAAAGAAGCTTAAACCAGCTTTTACTGAGTTCAAGAGTTGCTCTCTTGTCTCTTCTCGACAAGAGATGTTCATCATTTGCCACTATAGCTGGTTGTTAGTGGCGGTTGCGGTGGTGTTAAGAAGCTGCCGGTGACTATTTACGGCCAGTCTGCCGCCGCCATTTTCATATCGAGACGTTTTGAGTCCATGAAAGCTGGGGAGCAACTGGATCTCTACAACTGCAGGGTGGATTATAATGATGGCCTTAATGACGAAGATCAGGTAATATTTGAACTCTCCTTTAATTTTCTTTTATTACGTATTTCTATTTCATTTTATATGACCTTTTTTGTTTGCTCAATTCCAAGAAAATTGGACATTTTCGATACTCTTAAAGATTATGCTTAGCGACATGTTCTTAAATTGACATGGCATATATGTTGAGGAATACTAGATATTAAAGGTACTTTTGGTATCTCCTATATATTTAACTTATAACTTACATGTGAAAAGTAATTTTTTTTCCTTCTAAATCTTCATGTCCATTTAAACAACATCATATAAAATAAAGCAGAGTGATCATAAAATAAAGCAGAGTGATCATTGAAGGATATTATTACTTTTAGCCGGCACCAGAAACTATTTATATTCGATAGCCGAAAAAGTACATAAAAGTTGTATAATATTTGTATATAACATAAAAAACGTATATATATAAAAATAAAAAAAATTCGACTATTATTTTGAAAGCGACTATACAGTATCATTTTCCCATTATTGAACACTTGATTATAGAAATGGCGTGTTTATAAATTTAAAGAATGCAAAATCCACTTCACACAATTCTTAAGAAAATTAAAATATTAATGAATTGATGCTAAACTAGAATCTTATTATTATTCAGAGTGTACTCTACGGGTGTGTTTGGTATAATGAAAAATGTTTTCCGTGGAAAACTTGGAAAACAAGTAGTAATCTTATTTATTTTCCAGTGTTTGATACGCAAATTAAGAAAAATGACTTCTCAAGACTATTCATAAATAATTTAGATATAATAAACATGAAGCCATAAACTTTCAAACCAACAACCTTCCGAACCCACAAATTTCATAAACTTTCGAACCGCTAAACTTTCTAAACTGCGAAATTTTGAACCCATAAACTTTATAATTTCTAAATCCGTAAACTTCCAAACACACATAAACCTCTGAACTCATAACTTTGGAACTTGTAAAATTTTGAACCTTTAAACCGATAGATAAAAAACTAAAACTGAAAAATATATTTTTTTTCGAGGNTTTTGAAAAATGTCTTCCTTCTCCTGATAAGGAAAACGTTTTTCTCCAATTGGAGGAAAATGAATTCATAAGGAAAATATTTTTCAAAACATTTAAGTCAACCAAACATGAAAAAATTGAAAAATATTTTCCTTCGTACCAAACACACCTTACTTTTTTTAATGTGTACGCTAACACTAAATAATACTCCGTACTAATATTTGAAAAAAAAAAGAGAGAGAAAGAAATGATGTTATTATATTAAAAAATTATAAGGTAACATTAAATCAATTGTTTTAGTCTGGAAGCAGCATGTGTCTGATTTTAATTAATAGAATATATATCAATATCAAAAAGCAATCTTTTATTCAGTGATGTGATGCTCCATGACACAAATTTACTTGTTTATTTAATTCCACAAGGGAAATATTGTTTTGCTTCTTTCAATTATAAAGCGAATTATTTTGACATTTTGATGTCTATAAATAATTCGCATATCACTTAATATCGTAGGTCTATTTTTGTTGTTTCATGAATTATTTCTTGATTCACATCGGGTTGCAGTTTGTTTCTTTTATTGGTTTCATCATTTTCTTCTATTAACATTATTAATAATGAGTATTGTCGGCGAATAACCAAATCTTAAGAGGAGATTTGCAAGCAAATGGCATCAGTCACATGCATTATAACATGAAAGGATCCCATATGTGATTTTAGCTCCATTTGTTATTGCATGGAGTTATGGATCTGCGCCACGTGTTAGAATAACTTTTGAACGCTTAGATTTTGCATTATGTACTTAGATTAGAATAAATGCATATTACCATATTGCAAAAATTAAATAATAGTAATAATAAATTTTTATTTCTCATTACATTTACTCCATTAGAAACAACAAACAAGAAGAATTTAGGTGCACATCCATAACTCCATTAATTAAGGAGTTAATTCAGGGCCGGGGTGGGCGGTGAGTAGGGGCCGGGGGTGCTGGGTCTAGCGGCCACAGTGAGGGGCAAGGTGGTTGAATGGGGAGGATAGGAACTGTTGGAGAAAATATTTTTTCCTAGGAAAGTCATTTTTCCAAAATTGGAGGAAAATGATAAATATTTATGCCAACTAAAAAATGAAAAATTAAAAAACTGAAAAATACTTTCGTCCATACCAAAAACACACCCTTTCTCTGTATATATTTTGTTTTTAATGCCAATAACTTTTCTGAAATTTATAGTTTGGTGTCATATAAGCAAGATTTGAGATGGATAATTTTATATTTTCCGTTTAAGAGAAATGTGTTTCTATACGTGGAAAAGCATCATCTTTCTTTCTGCTTGAATTAATAGAAAGATTTCAGCTCTTATAGTTTTTACTATTGAATTAGCAGACGATGGACTTACCAGGAGGAAAGGTTCCAATTACAACTCAAATGAAGTTTATCTCAGAGTCATCTGAAAAGAGATTACCTTGTTATCGAGTCTTTGACACTAATGGCTATCTAATTCCAGGCAGTATATTTGAGCAGGTATAGTAAGAGTAATTCTTTAAGTATAGGTAGAAATCTATTTCCAAAAAGACAGATTTTGATAGAATTTATTGGATGGGTTAGCAAAGGATTGGCACTAAATATGTATTCTACCATGGTAGCACTTCAAACTATGGACACATTATTTTATGAAGCACAAAGGCAGGGGAGGTTATCATTCTGCCTAACAAGTTAGGGCTGGATATATATCGGGTATAATCGATAGCCCGAACCGATAAAATGCTATTGGGTTATCGATATCGGGTTATTGGGTAAATAGTTCAATAACGGTTTAATGTTATTTAACTATGGGGTTGTCGGTTCGGGTCTCGGTTTGTCCGATTTAGTAACGGTTTAACCGATAGTCCAATAAACTTTAACAAAATTAAAAGTTTACCTACTAAATATATAACGCCACCTTATGGCTCCATTCTCTCATTCTCTCAATTCTTTAACAAAACAGTGAAAAGTCAAGTAAAAATCCTCTTTCAACAAGTAAACAAGTAATTGACAGGTAATTAAGGTAACGTAAACAAATAGAAATTTGTCCCTCGGGCACAGTATCAATAAATCCGCCCCTCCGGCAACATCTCAGAGCAGTACCAGCCCCTCGGGCTTAATCTCACATCATAATGGGTACCCGCGCTCACTGGGGGCGTACAGACTCCTGGAGGGGCCCCTTACGGCCCAAGCGCAATAACAAGCCATCTCGTGGCATCACATCTAGGCCTTCGGCCTCATATCAATCAAGTCACCTCGTGGCATACATATATCTCAGGCCCTTGGCCTCAAATCAATATCAGTGTATCCTCACAACTAGGCCCTCGGCCTTACTCAGTCCAAAAAATAATCACAAGCCCCTCGGGCATTGGTAAAATAGTATTTCTCAGCCCAAAACATCATTTAAAATATCATTTAAGTATTAAAACTGAGTAAACATGGTTGAGTATGAAAATAGTGGAAAATAACATGAATGAGTTCAAGTATAAAGTCAAAACAGTAAGGAAATAGCAAATGAAAATCCCCGAAGGGTTCAAATAGTTGGCACGAAGCCCAAATATGACATTCAGCTCAAATAATGACGATAGCAAATAGTTTTCAGTCAAATACGCGGTAAAATCATGAACCGGGATGGACCAAGTCACAATCCCCAATAGTACACGACCCCACGCTAGTCATCAATCGTGTGTCTCACCTCAACATAGCACTACAGTGTGCAATTTGGGATTTCAAACCCTCAGAACATCATTTACAATCATTACTCACCTCGAACCAGCTAAATCCCTAGCTCGCGACGCTTTAACTCCTCAAATCAGCCTCCACGCGGGTCAAATCTATCCAAAATCAGAACGTGGACGTCAAAATATGCTAAGGGAACAAAGCCCAAGCGAAAACAATCAAACTATGACACAATTCCCGAAATTACCAAAACCCGAGCCCCAGGCCCACATCTCGGAATCAGGTAAAATTTACATTTTTAGAATCCTCATACCCTCACGAGTCTAACCATACCAAAATTATCCAATTCTGGTACCATTTGGTCCTTCAAATCATCATTTTATATTTTTGGAAGATTCCACAAATTTTCTTCCCAAATTCCATCCCAAATCACGAATTAAATGATGAATTCAATGATAGATTCATGTACTCTAGCCAAATCTGAGTTAGAATCACTTACCCCGATGAATTTCTTGAAAAACCTTCGAAAAATCGCCAAAATTCGAGTTCTCTAGGTCAAAATATTAAATAAAACCCAAAACCTCGTATTTATAGAGTACCCCACGAATTTCCACCTCTGCGGACCGCACAAAAACGACCACGGTCCGCACAAAACCAGTGCAGTCCATACAAAAACGACTGCGGCCGCACAGGTTTTTATCTGCAGTGACGGGCTTTAGTATTTTGGCCATAACTTTTGCTACAGATGTCCAAATTGCGATATCTTTACCTTTATTGAAACGGCACGAAGGGCTACAACTTTTGTTTTTGAATCATCTCAAAATTCCTTGTAGATCAAAAGATATGAGCTTCCGAAGTAGGACCAGTGAAATGTTCCCCACTGCGGCCGCACTGCATTTTGTATCGGTTCGCACAACACCTAGCGCGGACGCACTTCATTTTGTGCAGACCGCGCTGGTGGGTTCCGAAGCCTGCAACCCTTCTAGACCTGCTACAGCTATGATTTTCGGCCTAAAACATCCTGGAACCTACCCGAAACCCCTGGAACTTCAAACCAATTGTACCGACACATCCCATGACATCGTTCAAACTTGTTCAAATCTTCGGAACGCTCACAACAATATCAAATCACCAATTTAACATAGGATTCAAGCCTAAGAACTTCAAGAATTCTTAAATTATGCTTTCGATCAAAAAATCTCGTCCGAATGACTTGAAATTTTGCACACACATCCCAAATGACACAACGAGGCTACTGCAACTCTCGGAATTCTATTCCGATCCCTATATCAAAATCTCGCCTATCAACCGGAAATCGCCAAAATATCAACTTCGCCAATTCAAGCCTAAATATTCTCTATAACTCCAAAACTCATTCTGATCGTGCTCCTATATCACAAATCACCCAACGGAGCCAACCAAGCCATAAAAATTCCAATCCAAGATCAAATACAAACAAGTCAAATCTTGGTCAAACCTTTCAAATTTTAAGCTTTCAAGTGAAAATGTTCTTCCAAATTCATTCTGATTAACCTGAAACCCAACACCAACGATTTACATAAGTCATAATACACCACACGGGCAAGTCATGCCCGAGAACTAGCGAGCGAAGTGCAAAAGCTCAAAACGACCGGTCGGATCGTTACACAAGCGCTTGATTTAACGTCGCTGCACGATGCGAATCGCTTTTTGCCTCCACTTTGAACTTATGAATTGGACCCCAAGTTTTGATTCTTCTCTGTGATCATGCTCCTGGGGTGGTAGAATGAATTTGACTAGCCCAATAAAATAATGTAGTATTCTGCACTTCTTGGCCTTTGGATGAGGTGTGTAATCCCGACTTTCTAGCAAGAAGAATTCTAGAATGTAAGCACCTTGTTCCTCATTCCTTGACTCCTCAAGTGTCTCGGACGACTCTATTTCCATATCATCATCTAAACACAATGTGAAATAATGCTTGGAGTGAGGACCAATGCGCTCAACTACATGAATATTGGGACTGTCTACATTCTCAACACTAATGACAATAGAGTCAACCAAATATGTATCCTCAATATCCTTGGTTGACTCTAGTATCTCTTCTACGACATCGACATTCTCAAAATCTAGTTCGATTGATTGTTGGTATTTTACTCTGGCCTTCTCCTCTAGCTCCTCAATTCCTGTATCTAATTCACGCTCTTCTTGGATATTATTCACAATATTGGCTTGTTGAGCATTAAAATCTTCAACCAGTTGACTCATGTGAACGTTCAAGTTGTGAATAGTTTCCTCCTGCCTTTCTATCTGCAGTTGTAATTTACTATGTTGTTCCAAAATGCACTTTAACATATCTTCGATCTTCTTTAGGTCAGCTTTCCTGGGTTCTTTGTTCCTATTAACTTCCCCAGAAAAAGAAGAACCATCAAAGTAAGGGGTTAGGGGAAGGTAAGAAATATAAGCACAACCGTGAAAGTGATCTTGACCACCACACATATTACACACATTCCACACATAAGATTGAGTTAGTGCACAAAACTCGCTCTCGGGAATATTTTGATAATTTTGCCTTGGGTGGTTTCCTTCACAATATGCATAAGGAGGATTAAAAGTAGAATTACCAACATCAAAATTCTCATAATTCCATGATGCCATGTTTCTCAAATAAAACTAAAATATTTTTTAAAAAAAATAATCAAATACTAAAAAATAAAATAAAAGTTCAAACTTGAAACCTAGCAATATGTACACCTACAACTACACCGTTAGTTCCCCGGCAACGACGCCAAAATTTGATCACGCCCAACTATGCCTTATAAAAAGGACTAAGCGGTCGTTGCAAATATAATCCGGTTTACAAGTCCGGAGTTGAATCCCACAGAGAACTAAAGTTTAGCTACAGCTGTTCACTATCACCAAGAAGACAAGCTTGAACAATTCCTAACTTATAGATATTTAGATTTTTGTGTTTAACTAATTAACTAACAAATTAAAATAGTAAATTAACAACTAAAGATACTAAGGGTTAGAGACAAGATTAAAGAGGTCTAGAGTTATGATTTCCCCAATTGTCGGAATCCTTCCCGCTATGTCTTCTATAATTTTGCCTAAGTATTCTCTACCGATCATGAGCGCTCTGTGTGTTGTAATTCTCTCACGAGTAATTATGACAATTTACTAGACATACTCTCTAGAGTTACGCTAGTTGGCTTTAATTACAGCTCACTTAGATCGCACCCAAGGTTTCGTTATCCCTAGTCCCATCTTTAAACCCTTGGTTATTGATTCCTCACATACGTTGGGAGTGATGTTGTTCAACAACTACCTAAATATGCACTCTCTCCTGAGTAATACATACTAAATAGGCATAACTAATTGAGGATCCTATCAATTAACTACAACAAGAACGTAGTTGAACAAATAGAGATTATACTACGGCTCAATTTTATAAAAATATAACAAGAATTTATCCTACAAAAGGTTCCATCAAAACTCTAGATAACAAATTAACTATTCATAATAGTATGTAAAACTACAATACTAAAAGTCATAACCAACAATGAAAAATAGGAAGAGGAAGGAAAAACTCTTAGAAGAATTCCCCACCTTGCTCCTATTGTGTCTCTGCCTCCTTAGGTCGAATCTGTGTCACAAGTATGTCCAACCTCTCAAAATACTCAAAATAGTGTTTTTACATGCATTTAGACCAAGTAGGGTCGGGCCCAGACGAAAACACCTTCTCCCGCGCTAAATAGGACAATCACTTTGTAAAATTTGCACTACTGCGCTTCATGGGGCGACGCACCATGCGGTGCGGCAGTGGAAAAGTTTAGATTGCTGATTCTGACAAGCTGCAGGAAATTTCCACAGGCGTGGCGCATTGCGCGCCGCGGTAGTGGGAATTTGCGAAAACGCAAAACATGAAAGTTGTATTCCTTTCAAATAACTTTCCAACGATATATTGTGGAGCCCAAACGGAGTTCTGAGTGAAAAGTTATGTGCATTTTACTAGACAATGCACCGTATGCCCGCTTGATTCTTCGTTCGTTCTACCTATCATCCGTTAATCCCCGAATACGATCCCGGCTTAATTCCTTGAGCTTTTACTCAGACTTCAAAGCTCCAAATCACTTGAATTCATTCCATAATATCTACATAGCTTGGAATCACTCCTACAAGGCATAAAATACACAATTAGTGCAAAACACTAGCGATTAAAGCTCAAACTCAATTAAAGTGCAATAAATTAGAGTATAATAAGCGACTAAAATACGCAATTATAATCAGCAATGATGCTCTAGCAGTTTACAGTGCTATTCGCGGAGCTCGTCAAATGGCAATAAAGGAGCAAACACCAATATTAGTTGAGGTGAAATTGAACTCCTTGTACATGTACTAGTACTAAACAGAGTAAATGCCAAAACTTAGTTCAAGTTACAACAACAAACCTTAATCTGGAAAAAGTTTTAACTCTCAGGCCATGACATATAGAGTAAGCCACCATTCAACATCTGATGATTCAACTAAGTATCAGTGCGTAAAGGAAATAGAGCAGTGGAGAACAGCAAGAAACCCTGTAACCAGATTTAGAAATTGGATTCAGAGAAATGGCTGGTGGTTTGATCAAAATGAAACTGAACTTTGCGGAAACATCAGAAAACAGGTTCAACATTCAACAACCATGACATATATAATTTTGCATACTACTCATTATTTTTCTTCCTATAGGCTTTTTTCTTGATATCTTTAGCTTTGATTTAGGTATTGGAAGCAATTCAAGCAACAGAGAAAGTGGAGAAACCTCCATTGACAGACTTATTTGGTGACATTTATGACGAAATGCCATCAAATCTGCACGAGCAAGAGAAGTTTATTAGAGATACTATTAAAAGATACCCAAAAGATTATCCTTCTGACGTGCCTGTATAGGCTATATATTTCCTCTGATTTAATTTTCATATATCAAGATTATAATAATCTGTAATAGCTATGATTTTTGTGTATTGTAATTATAGGTGTTAAACGGGCCGGGTCAGCCCAGTTCCGGACTGGCCCAGACCGGTTAAAACCGGAATCGGCCCGGACCAGTATAAGGGGGCTGGGTTAAGGGGGACATGCGGGTTGCATCGTTCACATTTGAAATACCGTTACCCGGATCGGTACAACCCGGTAGATGAACAATGATATCAAACCGGTTAACCGGCCCGGCCTGGACCGACCCAGACCGGTTTAACGTTAAAATTTTTTTTTAATTGTTTTTAAAAATATGGGCCCAGATCTGACCGTTGGCAACGGTCCATTTCAGAAAATGGCCGTTGTCCAACGGCTGAATTGCACAATTAGCCCAATTTTTTTTTTTTAAAAATTAACCCCCCTTTCAAAAACTATAAATACCCCCTCCTCTCTTCCTCATTTTTTCACTCATCTCTCAATTCTCAATCTCAGTTCTCATATTCTCTCATTCTTCACCTATTAAAGGGCAATCAACTATTTGGCTATTTTTTTTTTGAATTTAATTTATCGTAGTATTTATTTTTTGAAGTTTGAACAATTGAACTTCAAAATTGGAACAATTGACGTTTCTTCGTGGTAACATTGGAGTTGCGAAATTATCAAGTGTTCAATTTATTGCCGAATTCGGTGCACTCCCTCCAACTCTTTCTCTTATTTACTATTTTATTTGCATATTTATTTGTTTTGTTGCTCGTAGTTAAATTTTACAATATGTTTAATTTTGCAAAAAGAGTTTGTAACAAGGTAACTAATCGGGAAAATAAAAAAAGAGGTAGTACTTCAGCTTCAGCATTTGGTAGTAATTTAAATACCTCTCCAAATATTCCTGAAACATTACCTGATAATAATATAGATTATGAACAATTGCAGGAAGATTTTGGTATAGATGATAATGAATTAGAAATGGAAGATGAGATACCACTTACACCTAGTAGTGTTGGAGCTGCTAGCAAGGGTGGTGGTCGTGGTGCTAGTAGTAGACCACCTGTGGCCCCGACTAGTAATCATAGAAAAATAAGTAAGGTTTGGAAATTTTTTGAGGAAATAGAAGGTACTAATAGAGTTAAATGCAAACTTTGTAATGATACTTTTAAACATAAGATTGGGGGACAATTAGGGGGGACTGAGACACTTAGTAGACATATGAGAATTGAGCATCCTATAGAATGGGGATCTGATGGAGATGCAAATCAATCAACTCTAAACCCTATTACTGGAGGTCTTGTGAAATATGATAAAATGAAGGATAGTGAGGAGTTAGCAAAAATGATTGCTTTGGGTTGTCTACCTTTTTCTTTTGCTTCTTCATCATATCTTATTATGTATATTCAAAGGATTTACAATCCTTTATTTAAAGGTATCCGTAGAAGTACTTGTAGATCTAATATCTTTAAACTTCATAGACAATATCAAACATACATACGTTATTTGTTTAGCTACCTTCCTTGTAGAGTTTCTCTAACTTCTGATATTGGCCATGCTGTTAATGGAAATGATTATTTGACAATTACATGTCATTGGATAGATGATACTACTTGTATGCAAAAACGTATTATCACTTTTAAATATGATGAAGATTAGAGTCATACTGCTGCGTTTATAAGTAGTACTATTTGTGAAGTTGTTGAATTTTATAATCTCAAGCAAAAAGTATTGTGTATGTCTTTTGATAATGCTTCTAACAATAATGCCGCAATTTCAATATTAAAACTGCATTTGCAACCACCTCTTGATGAAATTTTTCATGTTAGGTGTGCATGTCATGTTTATAATTTAATTGTTAAAAGTGGCCTTGATTTATTTTCAACTGAGATTACTCATGTTAGAAGAGCAGTTGGTGTTATTCAAGGAAATAATAGACAATCTAGAATAAAGGAATTTAAGAATAAGTGTGTCCAGTATAACCTTAAACCCAGATTCATGCCAGACGAAATTGTTACTAGATGGAATTATACATATATATTTTTAAAATGTTGCTACAAATATAGATTCCCAATAACTGAAGTTGCTAATGCGCATTGTACTGATACAAACCGTATGGTAACAACTACTACTTAGGATGTCATTAATGATGTTGTTAAATTTTTACATAAATTTTATACAGCCACTGTTGAGTTTTCTGGAGCATATCACCCTACTGTTACTATGGCTTTAGTACATATAGCTGAAATTTCTTTTCCACTCTTTGAATTTAAGAAGAAAGAAAAATATAGGGATGTTGTTGAAAAAATGCAAGCAAAATTCAAAAAATATTTCTTTCCAATTCCTCCGATTTACTTAATTGGTGTTGTTTTAAATCCTTCTATTAAGATGTCTGATTGTCACCAATTAATGAATGCTTTATATACTTATATGGAGATTGGACCAACTGAAACCCCAGATTTATATACTTGTATGAACAAGCTAAATGAATATTTACAACAATTATATAATTATTATGCAAATGTAATTGATGATGCTGCTCTTAATGTAGGCAATGTTAATCCCACTATGCATTGTACCACTTCTGCTACTGTGGATGATGAAGAAGGCCTTGATAGTTTTAATATTTTTTCTACATTTTCTAACACTCAAACCAGTAGCAGGAACATTGATGAACTTCAATTCTACTTGCAGAAGCAAAAAGAGCCTCGCACAAAGGAATTTTCACCGTTGGGATGGTGGCATGAGAATGGAAAGCAATTTCCTGTTCTTTTCGCTATGGCTCGGGACGTGCTGAATGTGCCAATTTCAACTGTTGCATCAGAGAGTGCATTTAGCCAAGCAAGACAACAACTTGGAGACACCCGTCACTCATTGGGAAACAATACTTTGAAAGTTTTAGTATGTTTCAGAGATTGGATTAGATCGGAATGAAGAAATCAAGGATGTGAATATGTTGATAGCCCAGAAGACGAGGAACTTGGAGATATATTAACACATGGTAACCCATCCGAATTTAACACTCCAGAAGAAGGTCACTCAGTTCATATTGATTATGAAGAACTTACTAAGACAATGCAAAACCTTTGAATTTACTCTTTTTTGGTTAATTTACTTGTTGTTAAATGTAAACCTTTCAATTTGTAAGTTTGAATTTTGAAATAAATGTAGCACTTACAATTTATAAGTGTAATTTTTTTCCATCTTCCTTGTATTCTTTATATTAATACAAAGTATTAGTATAACTTACAATAGTTATACAAAATACAAAAAAAAAACAATACACTAAACCCGGTCCGGTCGGCCCCCTCAACCCGTAACCCTTACGGTTCAATTTTTACCCGGATGAACCCGAACCCGTGAAACCCGGTAAGCCCCAACCCGTAACCAGCCCGGATCATAACCCGTACTGGTCCAAAAAATCCCAACTAAGCCCGGCCCGGCCCACCCGTTAAACACCCTTAATTGTAATTATCGAAAGAAAATCTGAAATTGGACGGGTTGTCCAATTTTAGCTCCATTCACCTATGTATATGGAAGTTGTTGCGAGTTCTTACCTCGTCGTCTTGATATTTTCTCATTATGTCTTAGCTTCTAGATTAATATCGCCTCAAGACAAGAAAGAAATTAATTAAACATTATTTGATAATTCAATAAGGTATTACCATAAAAATAAACTACAAAACCGAAATTCAATGGTGTCAAGTTACAGATAATTTTTAAAATCTTGAGGGGCCATACAAATTAATATTCCTATGTAAAGGAAGTACTCCCCTCGTTGCTTTTATGCAGCGTGGATCTGATCACAAGATAAACTATATACAATTTTTAAGTTGATTCCAGAGGTTGACTTAATATTTGAAGGTAATATTGTAATTATATATATGCAATATTACAATGAAATAACATTTTCAAGTTAATAATAAATTTCATAGAAAAATTAAAATCTTAGAGAACTCATACCAGAAAGAGCGATGAAGAAGAAAACAAAGTTGGAGAAAATGTCACAACCCAAGCCATGACACATATTATTCGCTTTATCTATTAGGTCTCGCTGTCCATTGCATTAAGCCTTTATCAAGCCTAAAAGTGTGTATACCATAGCAACTTCTACTCTATTTTATACAATACTTTACTTTTTCCTCTCTTTTCAGATGAGGAAATTGTCTAAGGTGTCATATGCATAATTTTTTGAAAATTTAGAAGCTTATCAATCTTTCTCTTTTACCCTCGTACCTGAAGGCGTGGGAAAAGCCTAAGTGCGAGTTCAACTAAACCCATTAACTTTTGTTCAAATAATGTATTTATGTTAAAAAATTCATCAAGTATATACATATATTAAATTTAGAATTTATAGTAATTCTTAAAATCGTCATTCTAAAATCCAAAACGCATAGCTTCGCCTCTGCCAGATCAAGATCAGCAGCGTAATGGATCAATTGAGCTCGAGGTGAGCTCTACTGGTGAAACCGGAGAATGGGAGAGGAGGTCTAAAATTGGGAGCATGTTTGAGAAGGAAAAGAAATAAATTTGGAAAATGAAATCTCAAGTGTAATTACCTCAGCAAAGTCATATATATACAGTACTCGATCAAAACGAAAAGAGCTAAAACTAACAGACTAACTAACTATCGGAAATGTAACCAACTTAACTAACAAAACTAACTTATTGGTACAACTGCTAAAGCTGTAAGTACAACTAGGAGTGGCAAACGGGCAGGTCGGGTTGGATATGGTTCGGGTCAAAAACGGGTAATGAAAAGACGGATAAATTATCCGACCCGACCCATATTTAATACGGATAAAAAATGGGTTAACCGGGGGACAATATGGGTAACCATATTATCCATGACTTCTTGCTCACATGATCACTTTTGGAAGAATTCTTAGTCTCCCCAACTTGAGGAACTCTCAATTTGAGACTTTACAAATATAAAATTTAGACCCATTGGTTATCCATTTTCTAAATGGATAATATGGTTCTTATCCATATTTGACCCATTTTTAAAAAGTTCATTATCCAACCCATTTTTCAGTGGATAGTATGGGTGATTAACTATTTTCTTTGAACCATTTTGCTACCACTAAGTACAACTACTCTAAAGCTGTAAAGACTAAAGCTACAAATAATGTGAGACATCTCAATAATCTCAATACCCCCCTCAAGTTGGAAGTGAGGGTATCACTGCCAACTTGCTAAGAATGCTGGAGTGTTTAATCCCTGTTAGTGCTTTAGTGAGAATGTCTGCAAGCTGATGATTAATCCCAATGTGATGTAGAAAAATGAGGCTCTCCTATAGTTTGTTTCAAATAAAATAGCAGTCGACCTCAATGTGCTTTGTTCGTTCTTGGAATACTGGGTTCCTTGCTATGTGAAGTGATGATTGACTATTGCAAAATACTGTAATAGGGCTGAAGAATGGGATTGTGAGTTCCTCAAGTAACCTTTGTAACCACACCAGATCCCCAACTACTTTCCTGATGGACCTGTATTCTGCTTCTGTTGATGACGAAGAAATGATTTCCTGCTTTTTTGATTTCCAGCTGATAGGGTTATTTCCCAGCAGGACAATGCACCTAGTGACTAATTTCCTGAAGTCTGGGCAGGATGCCCAATCAGAGTCACAGTATGCTTTTACCATGTAGTCAACATCTTTGGAAAAGAAAATTCCTAGGCTAGGATCAGCCTTCAAGTATCTCAACAGGTGATAGGTTGCCTTTAAATATGATTTTGTTGGATCCTGCATAAACTGGCTCAGGTGCTGAACACTAAAAGCTATATCCAATCTAGTGTTAGTTAAAAAATTAAATTTCTCAATCAACTTTCTATAATGGCTAGGATCTGACAAAGGATCTCCTTCCCTTGCCTTTAGTTTCATATTTGGATCGAGAGGTGATGATAAGGAGCTACAACTAAGCAATTGTATTCTTTTAGAAGATCAATGACAAACTTCCTTTGGGATATAATGACTCCATCATCCTTATAAAGAGTTTCTAGTCCAAGAAAATAGTGTAGTCTTCCCAGAACTTTAATTTTGAAACTATCATGTAAGAGTTTCTTCAAAAGCTTTATTTCTTCAAAAACAATTATTACCAAAATCCGTAAACATGATAAGAACGATCAACATAATGATTAACTAGTCTAAGAATGGATAATATGATCAAGGAAAGCAATAATTACAAGAATAAGACCCACCTGCATGCTATAACCCGACAACAACACATAGGTACTTGTCACCTCACCTATACGTCGTACCCAACATTCAAATACATAACAAATAGACAATTAAGTCCTAATCCCTCAAGCCAAGGTTAACCACGACACTTACCTCGCTCCAACGACCAAACTTAAAGCTCAATCACGGCTTTTCTTCTCAAACAAGCCTCCAAACCAATAGAATCTAGAAAATTACCAACCAAACGATTCAAATTAAGCCTTAGGAACTACCCACGATTGCAAAGAATTCAATTTAGGTCATTATTGAAAAAATCAACAAAAGTCAACACCCGGGCCCACTTGGTTCAAACCCGAAATTCGGACTAAAAATGGATTACCCATTCACTCTCGAGTTCGGTTATATAATTGGTTTTGAAATCCGACCTTAATTTGAAGTCTAAATTCCTAATTTATCAAATCTCTAGTTTCTACCCAAAACCCCCCAATTCTACCATGAAAACTCTTGATTTTAGGTTCAAAACTTGTGAAATATAGTGGAAGATTGAAAGAAACTAGTTTAGAATCACTTACCAGTGATTTGGGAAAGAAAAGTTTTTTGGGAAATCGCCTCTAGGGTTCTTGAGTTTGAAACTTTGAAGAATGAACCAAAAATCCCGTCTAAGTCATATTTATCCAGCTGCAGATGTCGCAAATAATGCGAGAAATCCCTCGCATTTGCTAAGACTTTCACACCTATGCAAACATCGCAAAATTGCGATGAAATGTTCGTAAATGCAAACACTAACTTGACAGCAAATGCGACCCAATGGTTGCAAATGTGAAGAGTCTCCCCTCCCAGTCCCCATCGCAATTGCGGAGAAATGTCCGCAAATGCGAACATAAGGTGGCCCAACTACTCTTCGCAAATGCGATGAGTAGATCGCAAATACGAACCCAACAATGGTCGCAAATGCGAACCCAACAGTGGTCACAAATGCGATGATTGACCTCGCAAATGCGAGGTGTGAGGCTTGCAACAAAAATCTGAACACGAGCAATATTTTCCAAGTCAAATTTCACTCCGTAGCCTATCCGAAACTCAACCGAGCCCTCGAGGCTCCAAACGAAACTTGCACACAAGTCTAGTAACATCATACAAACTTGCTCGCGCGATCAAATCATAAGAATAACACCTAAAACTATGAATTGAACACCAAATCAAATGAAATTTTTAATAAAACTTTGAAACTTCCTATTTTCACAACCGGATGTCCGAATTACGTCAAACCAACTCCGTTTCTCACCAAATTTCACAGACATGTCATAAATATGGTATTGGACATATACCAGGTTCTAGAACCAAAATACGAACATGTTATCTAAAAATTCAAACATTGGTCAAGCATTTCCAATTCATTAAGCCTTTAACCTTCAAATTTTGACAAAGTCCGATATCTCAGGCTAAGGACTTTCGATTTCAATTCCAGGCATACGCCCAAGTCCCAAATCATGATATGGACCCATCAGGACAATCAAAATACAAATTCGGGTCCGTTTACCAAAAATGTTGACCGAAGTCAACTCAAATGAAATTTTTAGGCAAAGTTTATTATTTTTATCAATTTTTAGCATAAAATCTTTTCGAAATGATGCCTGGAATGTGCACGCAGATCGAGGAAGCTAAAACATGATTTTTAAGGCTTTGGATCATAGAACTAGGTTTCAAAATATGAGATGACCTATCGGGTCATCACAAGTACTATTAAATGGTTTTATTTCTTATATTAACTTAACCACAAAAGCGTGCTTTTGAAAGTAGTGCATGATTTGTATATGGTTTTTAGATTGCTTGGCCATTGGAAAAGCTATATTAACCATCCCTTTTTCGGGATAAAGTCATCAGAAAGACTCATTTAGAATGATGATTTTTTGGTGATTTATACTGTGCTTGTAGTTGATACAACAGAAATGTGTTGGATGTGTGTGAAAAAAGTCTCATATGAAAAGTAAAAAAGAAACTACTTATGAGCAGAGGCGGATCCAAGAGTTGAAGGTTCCAGGTGCCATACCTTTTTGAATGTAGATATCTTACGATTACAAGGTTAAGACAAACATTTGTTCAATTTGATCAAATTTGGACTTTAATTTAAATTATTTACTTTTTCGATTTATGTATAAAATAGAATGAACAAAAAGATATAAAAATAATGACAACTTGGCACAAATTATAAAACTTCCAACAATTTTACTGTATACAGTCAAAACCGGGCCTAACAGGTTTTACAATTTGATCGAGGATAGGGAATTGCATCGAAGGTCGGCCTCTCAATAGATCAGACCGAGGTACGAGGATAAGTCACCAAGTTCGAGGACCGAGGCACCTATCGAAGATCGAGGCTAGTAGCTATCGAGACCAAATGAGACAAACATCGAACAAAGCACAATAATAGAAAGGCGAGATATCCGTGACTGGCCGAAGATCATGCCGTAAATCTCAGAACAGATTAAATCAAAGGTGGCTATTTAGTTAATTATGGGATTTACTTCCGTAATTAGAATTGTACCATAAATAGGATTCCTCTATTATATAAGGAGGGTCATAATCATCTTGTAACCATATGACATTCACGCATATTAAAATAATAAAATACTTTCTAGTTTATATTCTTGTTCATCAGTTAGTTTGCTTCTTAACTATTTTGGGCACCGATCAGCTTGAGGGCACTTAAGCTCGAGGGATGAATCACGTTTCAAGACTGATTTGCTTTATCTCATTGTTAATCGTTATTGCTAATTTTTACATTTATCAATTGGTATTAGGTAAAATCACGTATCCTTAAAACTACATTATAAGTTTAATTATTATCCAATTTTTAGGATAAACAGTTTGGCACCCACCGTGGGGCTAAGGATAATAGTGATTGCCTGGTATTAATCCTCATAACACACACCGCTTTACGCTTGTTCTCATAAGTGTCTTTGATTTCAAAAATCAACATGTCAAACTCTCAAGTAACACCCACTCACACAGACACCGGCCTAGGTCTTCATGGCGAAAATGAGGAATAGTCACCCCGGGAAACGGAGTACCTCCAGTCAACCCCGATGGACCACTGGTCGTAGACCCAGTCAATGTCAGTTCTCGTATTGCCATTAATGGAAATTTAGGCACCGACCCTAAAAATAGCATCCACAGAGACGCCCGGGCAACCGATCAGAGTGCACAGAGCGGTGATGAAGGCGGTATTAGCCTTCAAATGATATTTGAAATATTGTAGACTCAGTAAGATGCGATAACGTAGCTCCAAAATTAGAATTGAGCACCAAGCATAATTGAGCTCGATACATCACAGGAAATTATTCATTGGGCCGAACCTGTACCGAAGAAATCGAACGATAATGGATCGGGAACTAACCCCTCCATCATGAAGATGCTCGAGGAGCTTACTAAACAGATTGAAACGGGAAAAAAAGAAAATCAAGGTTAATGACAAAAAGGTAGAAACGTACAATTCACGGGTTGACCAAATACCGGGGGCACCCCCGATTCTAAAGGGTTTGGATCCGAAGAAGTTTGTGCAGAAGACTTTCCCTCCAAGTGCGGCTCCGAAGCCCATTCCAAAGAAGTTCCACATGCGAGAAATTCCTAAATACAATGGAACCACTAATCCTAATGAGCATGTCACCTCTTATACATGCATAATAAAAGGAGATGACTTAGAAGATAATGAAATTGAATCTGTTCTGTTGAAGAAGTTTGGAGAAACTTTATCGAAAGGGGCAATGATATGGTACCACAATTTGCCGCTCAATTCCACCGATTCCTTCGGTATGCTTATTGATTCGTTCGTAAAGGCACATGCCGGAGCAATAAAGGTCACGACTAGGAAGTCAGACCTCTTCAAAGTGAGACAAAAAGACAATGAAATGTTAAGGGAATTCGTATCTCGGTTCCACGTGGAATGCATAGACCTACCCCCAGTCACTGATGATTGGGTTGTCCAAGCCTTCACTCAAGGTTTGAACAAGCGAAGTTTGATAGCATCATGACAACTAAAGTATAATTTGACTGAATATCCAGCTGTGACCTGGGCCGATATTAATCGATACCAGTCAAAGATCAGGGTCAGGGATGATTAGTTAGGAGCCCCTTCCGGCTCCATTTACCAAAATAGATCTGACGGCAGAATTCAAAGGGACATCGAGAGAGAGCCCCGGTCAAACAGAGATCGGTACTAACCATACAACGCAGATTGTAGAAACAACGGACCGAGATGTAATTCTATTCGAAATGATCAAAGGAATGATCGAGGACAAACTTCTCGAGGGCTCATGAGTAAGAGTGGCTTCAAATAACATGTGGAGCCTAGAGATGTGCCACTTCAAAATACAACTTCAACAACGATGCATCGGGTATTGTATCAGCCATTGGACGAATCAAGGATACTAGGTGGCCCATACTTCTATAGACCGATCCAGCTCAAAGGAACCCTAATCAAATATGCAAATATCATGGAACTCATGGTCACATAACCAAAGACTGCAGACAGTTAAGGGAGAAGGTAGCTTATTTATTAAACGAGGGTCACCTTCGAGAGTTCCTAAGTGACCGAGATTAAAATCACTTCACAGATAGGGATGCAAGTAGGAAAAACGAATAAGAGGAACCACAACACGTTATTCATATAATCGTTGGTGGGGTCACTATTCCTCAAGGCCCGA